GGAGCGATTTCGTTCCGATACGAAATTGCGGAGATGCTGGAGACGGAGGATCTCTGGGCGTTCGTCAGGCCTAGTAGTACGGGATGTGCGGCGGGATGAAGAGGAAGAAGCACGAGGGTAATCGTAATTCCCTGACTAAAGGGAGGCGTAAGACATCAAGTCAGACGCATAGGATCCATGAGAGACATACCATCATTCAGGCTTGTTGGTACCGGAGAGGTGGGGAATTAAGCCTATGTCGGGTCAGGGGTCAGTCAGGAGAGTAAGGGATACCATCAAGGTATCAATCAACCTGAAAAAAAATAAAGAATCCAAAGAGATTTAAAGGAGAAGTAAAAAGAAAAAGCCTTACAGAGAGTTGCCAATCTTGTGAGTTGCCCAAGGTTGATAACACGTGATGGCCGATTAGATCATCGATAGTGGAGTGAAGGTTGGAAGGTTGGGAGTTGCAACTTCATTGATTCCACAAATTTCATTGATCTCCTTGTTTTCATTCTGTACCTCGTTTCTAATGTAAACTCCTTCATTGTACATGGGCTGATAGTTAGCTAAATGGTGTCACCCTAGCCCACTCTTTGACCCTATTCTTTCCCACAATAAAGGACCAGAGCCACAAAAGAGTGGCCTCTGGAAGGTCTATCTATATCCTTTTTGGGTGCAACAAACAATGTCCAATCTCATCTGACAGAGATGAGGGCATCTTTACTAATTAGGTCATGTTAGGAATCTCTACATGTTGACTTGATCTAGTTATAGTTAACTAGCTTCTTCTAACTATACTAGTGATCTATGAAATCTTGAAATAACATACACTCAAACCACTTATTTGGTTCATTTTTATACTGAGAATTTTCTGCTAGTTTATTCAAATCTCCCATCCAACTAACATATCCTAGATTCAATGAATATAAATGAATATATTGTAAATCAATGAGATTGTCAACATCCAGTTTGTATACTTCTTTTTGTCCCCACGGCCCCACATAGTAGCTCCCGGGTCACCTGACATTTAAACCTACTGCTTGACCTTCTGGAACCTCTGGAACTTCTAAACCTCCATTCACCACTCGCAACTTCTAACTTCATTGCACATCTACCTGGATTTACCAATTCGATCCTTTTACCTCGACATCAAATCCTCTGACACACAACTGCGGGGCTTCAAATCGCCAACCTTGCACCTGGTACTTTTATCTTAGCCACTCGATCGACCCGTGGACACTATGGCGGAGCAACAAGATAATGCACAGTCAATCAGCGCTGGTATGGCCAATCACTAGAATCCGACCCAATTCCTACTAACTTTGCTAGATGAAATCGCGCTGTACGACCGACAAATCCGCCTGTGGGGAGTGCACGCGCAAGAAAAGTGAGCAACCCAGCTTCCGAAACACCCACATATTCTAACAACAGCCAGGATCCGATCGGCGAACATCCTCCTCATCACCGTGAAAGCTCTGGCGAACGAAGTGGCCAAAAACCTCGTCCTAGCGGGCATCGGCTCACTCACCATAATCGACCACCAGGACGTCACGGAAGAAGACCTAAGCGCGCAGTTCTTCGTCGCTGAAGCACAAAGTGAGCAGGATGTGATCGGAAAGAACGTGAGCTACAACCAGAGCAGAATAACCACCGCCATCTACTAACAACCCACTCCAGCGTGCGCAAGTCGCAGGACCGCAAATCCAGAAAATGAACCCTCGAGTCAAGCTCAACATCGACACTTCCGATGTCAAAGCCAAACAACCCGACTTCTTCGCACAATTCGACATCACAATCGCCACAGAGCTCGACTTCCTAACTAACACCACCGTGAACGCCGCCTGCCGACTAGCCAACAGACCCTTCTACGCCGCTGGCCTACATGGCTTCTACGGCTACGTTTTCGCCGACCTGATCAGCCATGACTTCGTGATTGAGCGCAGCAAATCCAACATCGCCCCTGCAACCCAAGAGACACCCACCCGCAGCATTATCAACATAACCACCAAGACAGAAGAAAGCAATGCCAACAAGAAAGAACCAAACAAGATCATCGAGCTGGTCACCAAGCGCGAAGTGTACACACCACTGATTCTGGCAAACACCTCCCCACTGCCGGAAGAATACACACGACTCGCACGGCGTCGCAAGCAAGTCACCCCACTGCTCAGCTGCTTGCGCGCACTGTGGGAATTCGAAAAAATACGCGGCCACCGCCCGACCTTCACCCATGAAGACCTGGAATTTTTCACAAAGCTATCACGCGACCGACACCAGGAATTAAAGCTAGAGCCACTCACATTGGACTCTGTGTTCCTGCGGACGTTCCTGCAGAACCTGGGCAGCGAGCTGAGTCCCATTGCGGCGTTTTTGGGTGGTTCGCTGGCGCAGGATGTTATCAATGTTCTTTCAGCGAGAGAGCAGCCACTGCAGAATATGTTGCTGTTTGACGGCGAGAAGAGCGTTGGCCCGATATATTCGCTTCATCCTTTCTTCCCTGATGCTGGTGTGGAGATGGCTGCTGTGCCGCCGGTCAGGAACCCGGTTACGGTTCCTGTTGCTGTAGATTTGTGAGGGAAATTTAATCTAAAAGAAAATGAAGGGGCGACGGGCGGTAAGGGATTGAATTGGGATACGCTGTTTTGGCATCATAACGAATCTCCTTGCCAATAACCCCAGACTTGGATCTGGGTCTCATTATGTACGATAGAACACGAGCAACCATTGACACTTGATAATTGCATGAAATTGGGAATTATGTACAATTTTGTGCAAATATAATTATTAGCTATTCGAACTTTAAGGCAATTTAGAGCCTGCAATGCTTGCAATGCTATCCAAACCGAATCCCAACCCAACCAAGACGCCGTCTTAACACAATGGTACAAAATGCACGATATACTTGCAGAGAGGACTAGCAGCTCAATGCAAGGCCTCAGTGATGGGTCTCATCTTTTCCAAGTTCCTCATCACTGTTCTTCCGCGGTCCCATAGAAGGACCCTCCTCATCGTCAGAAATCAAGCCATGAAGCTCGAATGCCTCGGCATCTTGGATTTGCTGCGAGTTTGAGCGCGCACGACCATTTGCGTTTCCATTGAGAGTGGAGTAGATGGGGCCGTCCTGGTTAGTGGACTCGGAGTTGGGCCAGGCGTGGACGGCATAGATGTGGAGGAGGATGTTGACGACTGGAAGAGAAGAATGAGTGGATATTCTAGAAAAGAAAAGTGGGGAGATTAGGGGATCAAGATCAACTTACAGAGGAAGAGGAGGAAAGCGATGCTGTAGAGGATCAAGATGTAGGCTACGTGGGTGACGCCTGCATTGTGCAGCAGGAGCATCTGTTCCTCGGTGGCGCCCATGAAAAGGAAGCCGGAGGCATAGAGCAACTGCAAAAGAGAAAGAAAAAGCAAGTCAGTATTATCCTATATATACCACATCGACCGGAGAGGAGACATACGAAGGGAGTTAGGTATTGGAAGCTGTTCGGCTCGGAAAGAGCAGGCTTATCCTTCAGCACGAACGAGATCTCAATGATGCGGGTCAGACCCGCCGCCATCAGGGTATATCCAAAGAGGGTGTGGACCATAGTACTGATCATCAGATGCTGCGGATGAGCGGACATGGCATAGCCGGTCATCAAGATGACGAGAGCCGGAATGAGGTTACGCTTCGGACGGCCGCTGCGGGTACGGCTGAGCCACATACCCAGCAGACCAGCGCACCACCATACAACTCCCATAGTAGTATGCTGGAGGTCATTGTGAGCCCAAGGAGTACCCCATCGGTGCTCGGTGAAAGTATTAACACAGCCCCAAGCGGCGATGACGAGCGAATCGAAGAATTCCTGACTGCGGCCGGTACGGCGCAACCAAAACTGACCAACAAGCAAGAGGATAGTCAAACAGATACCATACCCGATGAATGCGGAGCCCATAATGAAATGGGCCAGACACTGACCGAGATGATCCTCGCGACAGAAGCCGAGCGCGGCAATGCCACCGAATAGCATCTGCGCCCAGCTGAGGACGGGCATGACCTTGCCGACGATGCCGTGGGCGAGCACGAAGATCCATCGGATGCGAGCCTGGCCCGCTTTCTCCAGGTGCAGTTTAAGATACACTCCGAGGACGATTTGCGCGACGAGCAATAGCATCAGCCAGTTTGCGACGGATGCGTGCAGGTTCTTATCGAATTGGCGACCTTTGTGGGCGTGACCAAGGAAGTAGGCTAGCACGGCGATGACGGTGCCGACGACTTGGACGGGGACGTGCCAGCGGGAGCGGGTTATCTATTTTCTGTTGTTAGAGATGGATGAGAACGGTAGGTAAGTAACTGAGAGGCAAGTGAAGTAGTCCATACCCCGAGAACCATTCCCGTAGGGAAGATTATGCCAAAAGCCAAACTCATCAGAATCATATGAGTCCATAATGTCGAGTCCTGCAATCAACTTGTTAACTTTTTGCAGGGGAATATGGTTGAAGTCCCACGTACAATAGGATCCTGGGAGATAGATTCGCCTTCAGGAACAGCCTCATGGCCGCCATGGGCGAGAGCCGCGGCAACCAATACAAAGACAGTCCATAAGGACTGACGAAGATATGCCATGGTGTGGTTGGAGTAGGGAGTTGAAAGGGAGAAGAGAACAGATGCGGATAACAGGTAACCCAATCCGGGGCATCCGATTAGGTCGGGACCAACGCGCGGAGTCAAGACAACAACGTCTTTTTGATCTTCAAGGCTTTGTTTTCGAGTATTTAAGTGGTTTTGAGCTATTTTATCTTTTAGCTCTGGAGTTATATGAACATATTAACAATTCAAAGAAGTCTCACTCCAAAATTAGGGACGCGCAAGCAGAATCCTTGGAAGCCTTGGACTGGATTATTCAGCGTGGCTGTGATTGGTCAGGACTATATAATTTCTGGGGTACAAAGTACTTCTTCCTCCTACAATGCTCTCGTCTGTTGCATCTCAACTATCACAACACATATGCAAATGCATCTAATTGCAAACAATCTCCATGGATCCAACCAAAGAAACCAAATCCTATAGGGACCAGCAGCGAATAGTACGTCCTTTGTATTCCCCATCCTGCATCCACCCGTGTCCATCATATCAAGAACTAACACCCACGGCAGGCTACCCTTCGCTCTTCAATTGCAACTCTAGAAGCTAAGCATGTGCGGCTTCAAGCCGACCTAACTGACGTGACTGCTCAGCTCAAGTAAACACTCCCAAGTCCCGCATCTTGCAGCTCTAACCACTGCTTTTTGCAGGGACAATCCCAATACCACATGCGAGCGCTACACGCAGCTCTTACATGAGTACAACGATATCAAAGACGTTGGACAGGGGTTGATGGGGCTTCTTGCTGATGCGAGGGGAGTAAGGCAGATTGAGGTGGAAAAGGAGTTTGGGGTTTCGGAGGAGGATTGAAGGGCTACACTACTGATTGAAAGGACTTGAAATGATTAAGGCATTTTAAATGACTGAGTGGATGGAGTTGAAGCGAAATCAGGTGGCGTTGAACTGAGATTCATTGTATTCATTCATCTAATCCTACATCCCTAATGGACGTTTTTTATTTCTTAAAAAATTATCGAGGGGAGAACGGTGTGCCCCGGTTTGCAGGGTCTTCGCCACTGACAACAAATACTCTTATCACAAGAAAGGGGAAGATTCAAAGAGGAAATGCGAAATAAAGAGGAAATGGCGAGGGAGATGGTGGGATAGGATCAAGAAAGGAAGAAGGGGGTATGAGTACATAAAATAAAAATAGAAAATCAAGATAATTAGCCGGCCCGGCCAAGGGACTGGAGGTTAACCAGCTCGAAGTAGCGACCCTTGTTGCGCAAGAGCTCAGTGTGAGTACCGCTCTCGACGATCTTTCCTTGGTCGAAGACATAGATGATGTCGGCCTTCTGGATGGTACTGAGACGGTGAGCAACGGCAATGGTGGTACGACCACGCGCGGCAGCGTCCAGAGCAGCCTGGACGACCTTCTCAGACTCAGAGTCGAGGGCCGAGGTGGCTTCGTCCAGAAGCAAGACCTTGGGATTGCGTAGAAGGGCACGGGCGATAGCGACACGCTGCTTTTGACCACCGGACAACATGCCTCCTTTGCTGCCGACGACAGTGCCAAAGCCATCGGGGAGAGACATGATGAAATCGTAGATGTTGGCGTCCTTGCAGACCTGGATCAGGTCCTCGTCGGTGGGGTCGGCATTGGGGCTACCGAGCAGGATGTTCTCCTTGATGGTACCCTGGTAGAGAGTGGGCTCCTGGCTGACCAGCGCTAGGTGGCTGCGGTAAGAATTGACATTGAGGTCGGCGATGTTCTTGTCATCAATGTAGACACCACCAGAAAGGGCATCGTAGAAACGCTCGAGAAGGGCAATGGTGGTACTCTTGCCGCATCCGCTAGGTCCGACCAGGGCAATGTACTGGCCAGGCTTGACAGTGAGGTTCAAACCGCGGAGCACGGGCTGCTCGGGACGGGTGGGGTAGCGGAAGTGCACGTCCTTGAACTCGATGGTTCCTTCACAGTGGTCCAAATTCTCGCCCTCTTGGGACCATGTGTCAATGGTGGGGCGACGCTCGAACAGCTTAAGGAACTCGGCAGCGGCGTTCTTGGCCTTTCCCATGTCGGGGGAGAAGGAGAACACTGTACCAGCGGATTGGGCACCGAATAAGATTTCACTGAAGCAGACAAAGAAGCGGAACACGTCGTATTCATGGTGACCGAGCAGGGTTCCACCATACCAAAAGCCGAGGGCGACACAGAAGAAGACCAAGGCCTGGGAGGCCGCATACAAGGACGATGATTTGAATACCGAGATCAAGCTTGTGCGGCCCTGGCGATCGAGCTGACCGTGGTAGAACGCCCAGACATCGTTTTCACGGGTAAGCGAAGCCACAGTGCGGATGGCAGATGTAGCCTCGCAGGCGTAGCTAGCCGATCCCTCATAGGCTACCTTGGAACGTGCCTGGAACGCGGCAAGCATGTAGAAGCGGTAGAAACCGCAGCCAAGAAGAATCGGAATGACGGACATGCAAACGAGTGCAAGCTTCCATCCGAAAGAAAGCGCGATCACAATGGAAGCGATGAGAGTTGTGGAAGTCATGAGAATTGTTCCGAGGGTTTGACCACTGATACCGGCCAGGTGCTTGGTCTCAGTTGAAAGGAAAGAAGTCAAAGCACCGGTGCTATTCTCCTCGCGATCGAAGAAGTTGATATCCTGTCGGAGCATGACTCGGAAGGCATTGCCACGGGCCTTGCGGATCAATCTCTCGGAGCTAAAAGCGAAGGCGATACCGTGGATCGAGAAAGTGATGATTTGAACAATACCAACAATGAAGAACATCAGAGACCAAAAGTTGGCATCCGATCTCAGCTTTTCCCACTGGCTTTTGGGCAAGGAAAGTGAGCTGATGGCCTTGGCGTACAAGAACGCTTGAGTGGGTTGACCACAACCGGCGAGAATCGAGAAGCAAAGACCGATGGCCATGAACCACCGCTCTTCCTTGTTAAAGGAGCCGATAAACTTGATCAGAGTCAAAAGTGAGTACTTCTTGCTGCCTTCACCGGTCTTCTGCGAGAGAATAACACTGGACACGGACTTGCGAGACTCCTGGCGATGCATGGCGTCCTGTAATGTTTCGGCCTCATCCTTCATACCAGTTGAACCACTGGCAATTGACTTGACACGTGCGATGTGAGACTTGGACTTGGACATGTTCTCGATGCTATCCTCATCATCATCCTCATCCACGTCCAAAGCATCTGCGTCCTTCTCCTCATTGATGCGCTGGGCCTCGACGAGTTTGAAGTAGGGACCGTCATGTTCGGTCAGCTGGCCGTGCGAACCCTGCTCAACAATGGATCCGTTGACGAAGACAACAATGTTGTGAGCAGACTTGATAGTGGACAGACGATGGGCAATGACAATGGTGGTGCGGCCCTCGGCAGCGCGATCAAGCGCTGCCTGGACGACACCCTCGGATTTGGTGTCGAGGGCAGAAGTGGCTTCATCCAAGAGCAGGATCTTGGGGTCGCTGACCATAGCACGAGCGATGGCAATACGTTGTTTCTGGCCTCCAGACAACAAGAATCCACGCTGGCCGACGTTGGTTTCATAACCTTCCGGAAGAGCAGTGACGAAGTCGTGAGCGTTGGCCATCTTGGCGGCATTCTCGATAAGCTCCTTAATCTTTTCCTCGGACTCATGCTCGAAGCGTGTTCCAATCAGACCGTGGCGAATGTTTTGGTAGATGGTTGTGCCGAACAGAACAGGTTCCTGGCTGACCAGCGAAATCTGCTGGCGTAGCCATCGCAGGTTGAGAGTCTGAATGTCGTGACCGTCCAAGAACACTTGACCACCGACTGGAAGGTAGAACCGTTCGACAAGGCCAACGACAGTACTCTTACCCGACCCTGAAGGACCGACCAAGGCGGTAGCCTTGCCAGCAGGAATGGCGAGGGAAACGTCCTTCATCACTGTAACTTCGGGGCGGGAGGGGTAGATATGTTTCACATTGCGGAACTCGATGTGACCTTGGACATGGTCGAGGATAATGCCTTCATCTGAAGTAGGGTCTAACGGGGATTCGCGGTCGATGGTTGCAAAGATCTTGGTAGCGGCAGCCACAGCATTGGTGAATGCGGAGGCGTTCGGGCTGACATTACCCAAGGAGAAAGATCCGATAAGAATAGCCATCAAGATGGTCAAAACGTGACCGACATCAACCTTCTCTTGCACCAGGAAACGGGAGCCCATCCAGAACCCGAGGCCGTAGTTCATGAACATAAGTCCGAACATGATACCGACCATCACGGCAAGACTCATTTGCAGACGCATGCCCCATCGCTCGGCACGAAGCAAGTGAGACTCGTACTGTTTCGCGAGCTTGTCCTGAGTACCGAATGCGGTGGCATTGCGAATCGAGCTGATGACTTCCTCGGCTACAGTTCCACCGGCACCAGCGCTTTCCAGAGAAAGCTTGCCGTACTTGATGATCAGTTGGGAGCCTCCGCCCATGATCAGGACCAGGGCGACCATAGTTGAAGTACATATGCCCGCCAAGGGAGCATACTTGATGTATGCCACCACGAAGGCAGTCACAAAGGTGGCGATGGCGGTCAGGGTTAAACCAACCTTTTCGGAGACACCATCCTGAATCAGGTTGGTGTCGGCTGTGATACGGGTAGTCACTTCACCTGCACCAAGCTTGTCGAAGTAGGCGATGTTCTGACGCAGGATGGCTTCGAGGTAGTGCTCTCGAATTTTCTGGGTGACATGCTCTCCGGTGTAGATGAAGCCAACGGTACTGACGTAGACAGTGACGAACTCTCCGATGCCGAGGTAGATAAAGTACAAGACATTGGTGGTCAACTGGTGGTAGAATTCGTCGTAGGGTATGGTACGGAGCATAATCTTTTGGAAAGCAGTAGCTAAGGAACCAAAGAGAATGGTGAAGAGGGGCAAGGCAGCACCGGCGGCGATGGCACAGAGTGCGCTCACGACAATGATGAGTATATCCATGCGGGAGGCATATCGATAGAGACCGAAGTAAGAGATACTGACGAGAGGCGCATCTAGCTGACGTTTTAGAATGTCCCTTTCATGCTCGGGTAAGTGAGCATAAAGAGCATCATCGTCTGTGGCGACTGGAGTCTTGGTTTCGTGTTCCTTTGCTGTTGATGCGGAAGTGGAGGCAGAATCGGAATCGCGCTTGTTGATGGGCTTCTCGTTGACCTGAGGGTCCTCCACCACCTTCTCCACGGCCGTCACACCCTCCTCGGGTTGCTGCATATTGAAGCTTTTGAGGGGTGTATTTGGATCTCTACTCCATGAAGAATTGAAGATGAGGAATGATCTGAAGGGGTGAGATATGAAAAGATGAATCCAGGTGCCAAGTACACGTAATAAGAAATATTAAGGGATGTATAAGAGAGGAATTAGATTAAGAGTAAATTGATTAACGAAAGGGGCAAATGAAGGGGTGAGAGATCTAAATGTCCCTTTTTTTTTTTTTTCTTACAGCTTACTAGAGGATATACTTAAGAGGGGCCGTTTATTTTTTTTCTCTCCGGTCGGGTAGTCCGAACTCCGACCTATCTTTTATGCAATTACCTATTTTGGGTATACAGGTTGTATTTTATCTCTCTCTCTCTCTCTCTCTCTTTGTTGTATAAAGTGTTAACTAACTAGTTAGTTAGTTACTTAGTTCTATATGTTCAATGTTTATCTACAGGTGAAACTACACATTCCGACTACATTCCTCAAGGACATCCCTAGAACACGCCCCTTTCTGGGGAACACGACTTGGCAGCCACGAGCTGGTTGCTTTCTTTACAATGCTTGATGCAGGGTCCATGATTGGCGTATGTGTTACTTGCATACAACATACATAATCATATCTAACACATCATGACGCCAAACCCGAGAACGAATACGACAATTGAGTCATAATCTACTAACTACAACAACATAACTTCATTATGTATGTACGGGGGATATAATATTATTCGACCGAATTTTGATCCGCCTAAATACGAATGCGATCCCGATCTGGACCCCGAAGCCCTGCGGATTATATATCCCACTTTTTTTTTTTTATACCACAACAACATAACTAGTCATATATGTCGGCTCCTTTCATGCCCGATGTCCGACGCTTGGACACCAACCAAAATAGGTCCTTTTACCTATTTCGTACAAGGGCATTGATTAGTACAATGGAGTCTATTTGTCTTGATCATCTTGAAATTTCATCGTAGTGCATAGCGACACCCGAGATTCGTCCTCTATTTTGTGCTTAGAGATTGATTGATGTAGGATGAATCAAAGAGAAAGGAGCTTTATAACTTGATGGAGCTAATGAGACATAATCATGCACGCATGTTTTGACCAGGCAAGGAGGAAGCTAGGTAGGTCTATCCCCAGATTAACCAGAGACAGCAAAATCCTCAACTTCTTTCCAAGGTTCCCCCAAATACTGTCAGCTGCTTGATTCACTATCCAAGCAAAAGGTTTTCTTGGAGATCTAGAAATGTAAGTAAACCTCAGCGGACTCCTAGCCAATGACCGCCCATAGCTTTTGATTGGAAACAAGTATGTTTCCTAGCCCTAAATCAGGATTTTAACTAAACATGGAATTCCTCCTGGACTCGGAGGAAGATCTTCCCGAGAGAAATATATATCTCTCTTGCTCTTAGACAACACTGAACGGCTTTAATGAATCCCGTTCCGAGTGGGCAAGGCAAGGCTCCAACATTGAATACTAGGCCCCGATACAAATTCTGGAATCGCTCCAAAGCAATAGAAGCGAGTTTATTGGACATATTCCGTGTTATACCTGGGACTCTTTTCAACCCTAAAAATGATCGATTCCCATCCACCCAGGAATACATCATTTCGGGTACAGCTCCTGGAGGTACCTTTGCTTAAGCGAATTTGATGATTCCACTCAATGAAGTCGTATTGGAGCTCTACGGGTGGACTTTGCAGATAGCATTGTTTCTAATAGCCCATACTGCTAACAAGGTGCCTCCATATATCAAACAGACCTCATGCGAATTTGTAGGAGTATCGGGTGGTTTCTCAGCCAAGGCGCCAAGTGGAATGAGAGGGTTGTGTAACAGAATTTATGATGACATGATTCAGGCGGGTAAATGTTTATATTGACGGGTTTGTAGTAATACAGTGGAAGCACTCCACGTTAAGATTTAATAAGCATTTTGATGTTGAGGCGTGCCTAATGGCTGTGCCTGGCAGTTTGATCCCAATGATTCTCCAGGGATGGGACAAGCTAGCTACCCATCTAAGACAATTCGCACGTCAGGTGAGCTCAAGTTGATTGGCTCATTCCATGTCTGAGACCCCATTCAAATGCTTGTTCTTTCTCCATCTACCACAAGGCAGTATTAGATTCATATCTAAAGTCGGATCCCCCAGCCACCTTGACTAGAAGATTCAACAATCATTCCCGCTAAGCAACCCCTTCCACCTATGAAGATGGAGCCACTGATGTCTCCATTTTCCGAAGTACGTGATGCTTCCTTGCTTAAGTACTATTCACTGACAGTCTCATCTACAGCCCCACAGCCGTGATCTGGAGGGAGACTTCCCGCTAGACGGAAAGGACCTTGACTCCATCACAGACGAGACTCTGGCAACCCTTCTTGACTCTGCTCCTATGCTACACCACCTTGGCTCCACAAGATTCGTGCGACTCTCATAGCATTTGGTGATGAAAGGTGGCGGCGGTGTCCTATCATGCGAAGCGAAGACGCTTAATTTCATTGCATCCAAAACCGGCATTCGAGCTCCACGAGTTCATCGTGCATTTCAAGTCGAAGATGAGACGTAGTATTTTGGCACCAAGGGATACATCGTGATGGATTTTATCGCAGGGCAACCTCTCGACAAGTGTTGGACCAACCTGCCCTATGACAACCAAAAGCAAATCGCCATGCAGATTGCCGACATGATCAAAGAGATGCAGTCTGTTGTAATCTCGCAGCCAGGTCCCCTCGGTGGCGGTCCATTTCGTGGTCAATTCTTCACCGACTATAGTGCCGGTCCGTTCAAGGACAGTGCTGAAGTTCACTGGTTTAATCACAAGCTTAATATCTGTAAGCACGTGACTCAATGTCCCAAAGATATCCCACCATTTCAATTCAGCACATTTGTCCTCACTCATCAGGATATAAGCCCTCAAAACCTTGTTCTAGACCACAATGGAGAACTGTGGTTGATTGACTGGGCGAATGCCGGTGCATATCCCCCTGCCTTTGGAAGTGCTGCGTTATTGGCCCAGCAGTTCTTTACTGGCTTCAACGAAACAGCTTTGGTTGTTATTCCACGGTTCCCTGAGGAAGAACGACAGCTCGATTCAATTGCATATGGGTTGATTACTGCGGCATTGGCTTAATGAGATCGTGCTACGATTGTTGTCTTTACTGCAGTTCCGTAATTTTACCGGTGATCCATAATATGAATTCCTACAAGAAGGACATATCTATAAACATTGTATACTGGACTACCAAGTCGTATCGTAGTACTTGCATAATGCCAGTGTGCGGCGCATACATAGTTCCAACCCGTGGACCCACTTTGCGGTTCTTGCCTGAGACATAATTTTATTTATGCCTTGCTGCCTTACCACCTCAGGCACTAATTCCACATCACCTGACCCAACCGAAGCGAAGCCAAGCCCTGCCGCACACAAACCATCCACACTCGAAGGTCGATAACTTCATCCGTCCATCCAACAAGCTCGCCGTCGCGATCAACCCTTCAAGATGCCGGTATGTTACCACCCTGCTCACGCCGTTCTCGAAAAATACTTTCGCCATCGTCGCCATCTCCCTTCCCAGTCAGACCTCTGAAAATCGAGAAACCAAATTTTAACCCGTCATTTTCCGCACAGAGCAACAAGACCTTCCGCACCAAGCAAAAGCTTGCCAAAGCTCAGCGTCAGAACCGCCCCATCCCCCAGTGGATCCGTCTGCGCACCAACAACACCATCAGGTAAATCGCACCTTTATTTCGAGATCCAAATATCCGTCTTTTTATATATCCGACCGCCATTTGTGGGAAGAGTGATACGGGAAAGCGAGAGAGGAAAAGGAATATCCACATAACCATCCACCCGCCGACCGCACGAACCCAATAATGGAGGAAAGAAAAAGAAGAGACAGCTTAACACAAACCGGATCGAAACACATGGCTGATACAATACTTTTTTTTTTCAACAGATACAACGCCAAGCGCCGACACTGGCGTAAGTCGACCCTGAAGGTCTAAGCGGACCCTCAGTATTCGCACCCTCCGTCCGGCCATTCTCAAAAGCCCCAATTCAGCTCGCGATGTCATATGGCAAACGAAGTGTGTCTGTGCGGGGTGGTTTCAAGGGTTTTTGATCATTTCGAAACCCTCTTCATGATGTGACGCCCACAACCGAATTTCGAACAACATGCCTTCACCATGAACTTGAGAGCGCTAGTGGATTGTGGAACTACTCTTGAGTGCAGTTGCAAACAAAAAAATTCAATTATCAAATCTTGATCCGGGTCTTGCTTTGGGTCGTGTCTATCTTTTTTTTTCTTAATCTTCCAATGGGTCGTCATTTTTTCCTCCACGGTTCCGAGTGGGGATATGATGGATTTCCAACACACCTAATTTATCGATATGGATGGCAGGCCCGGATTATGTTTGCAAAAGGTTCTGTTGCTGTTGGGGGCTGATCGTCTTCTTGCTGGGGGGCGGGCTTGTAGGACTGGTGTGGCGGGGGATTTTCTTTTTTGATACAAAATCTGATTGAATCGAATTGAATGTCCTTTGCCTACTTACTTTTTTGGGATGGTCTTGATGGCCGTAGATTTTGATTGGGATGTTACATCGGGAACATGTCCATGCTGTCTGTTCCTGATGGTGTTACTATTCGTATCACGCTTTGTAGTACAGCCTTGGGATCTGCATTTTATATGCTACATTACTTTTATAACTTGGCGTTGTCGTCATAGTAGAAATATCAGTAAGGGTCGGTTGTATGACCCCGCTATCCAATGCTACTGGGTTCAGGAGGATTCTGTAACAGATGTCATTGCAAGGCTAGCGATTTTTTAAAATCAAATCAAACCTTCCAAGGAAAATAGCAAAAAGTAACGCCCCCAAAAAAAGCACCCTGCTAGACATCACGGGTTACGCTGCAAATTGTCGTAAGCAGCCGAAAGGATATCATTTTCTGTTTTTCGAAAAAAAAAGCAACAGACCAAAATCAACATTCAACGACTAAAGTAAAAAAAAAATTGTCAGCATAGATTATTGAAGGAACGCGTTGTAGCAACTTACTCCTCAGCCCACTCGTTCTCGCGGCGGATCTGGTCTTCCTCCTCAGGAGTGAAGTCATTCTGGATGTTGAAGGTCTTACGGATCTCCTCCGGGGACTTGCCCTTGATCATGTTAGCGACTGTCTTGCAGCCGACGTCGAGGAGGGCCTTAATATCCAAGTAGTTGGCAGCCTAGGAGAAGTCAGTATGTGTGTTGAAGAGCAAGTCTGGAAACGAAACGTACGAGGATGATCTCAAAGAGCATCTCCTGGTCCACCTGCATAAACTTCTGGTCCCACTCATCAATGTCGGTGGTCTTGCGACGGTTGTCATCGTCATCGCTGGCACTGGGGGATCGTTCTTGTGGTGCTCGCACCACTCGATGACCTTCTTAAGAACGGCCTCGTTAACCTGGACAGAGAAGTGTAAGTGACTAGACCTTAGATGTTGACTATATCGGGGTGGATACTCACGTTAGGGATGGGGATAGCTTCTCCGGAATCGCCCAGATCCTCGAGCATGTTCTTGATCAAAACGGAGCGCTCAGCAGTGGTGCGCTCTGTTCAGAATGAAGTCAGCGAACGACACTCGCGATAGCATAGGAAGTGATACTTACCAACAGAAATGTCGACTCCATCGGAGCTAGTGAGGGTAATAGCACTCATGGTAAAGGTGAAGAATCTAACGTTCAGGTGAGGTTAGCTTTGCTGATCGCTGTCGAATAGTGCGGGGCAGTTCAGTGGTGGGGGATATTACTGAGGAGGTTGAAAAGGTGTAGTAGATTTGTGAATTGAGATCTAGTCTTCAGAGGTAGTATGTCTGAAAAAAAAAAAGGTTGGCGAATGTTGGAATGACGAGGATGTAACAAGTAGATGGCGGGTGATGAGGTTTATGAGGTTCTGGATTACCAAAGGCGGTATCCATGGATTAAGGCCAACAAGGCTCCCAAGTCAGCCCCCCCACACGTCTTAGTTTCTCCCGTTGCCTAGAATAACTATACAACAAATTAACTACCTTGGCATATTGGTTTTGACTCATTATTTTACTTCAAATAATACCCCTTGGAACAAGAAACCGACCAGAACTGTACTAGTAACCTATTAGCCTGGGGATAAATATTCGGGAAATTTAGGATGCTGCCTGCAAGCAGCTCTGGTTTGACTCTGGACTAAGCCAGAAGCAACGACGGACATATCTATTTAGTTCCGGCGATGTCTATGTAGACAGTGAAACTAGATCATTTTGGGAAATAGTATACAACATATGTTCTGTTGGAATTATATCATTTTATATCATCCTATGTCAGATTGTCGATCTATCAACTTCTGGTATCTTAGGGTATGGAGTAGTATGAAGTAGTATGGAGTTGTATACGAGATCTATACAACATACGACATTAATAGATGTATCAATCATATTAACAAACATATACATCCCTTGATATATAATAATATTCTACTAAATATCATAGTAATATCTAGTATAGTTATCTAGTATATCTAGTATAGTATGTACTTGATAGTAATAGACTGATCTATTGCACTCCGCTTAACGCGAATCCAGTGATATCATTGTCCAATACGCGTTTCCTTTCCTTCTTCTTAGCCCATCCCCTTCCACTCCTTTCTTTTACTTCATTCCTTAACCATCTTCTTCTTCTTTTTCATTCTTTAATTATTTCTAATAATGTTCCCGGGTTTCTCTAACCATGTGGCGTCGAACATATTTATTGTTATTGGTCATTCGCGTCTACTTCGCACTATCGCCAAGCTATCTACATCCCGATGAGAATTTCCAAGGCCCAGAGCTTTTTGCAGGTGTGTTTAACTGTCCAATGATCGCTTGACAAATCGACGACCATACTGCGACTGCGCAAACGCGTGGAAATCTTGGTTGCGATTTTCCCCAAAGCCCCAAGAAAAAAGAAAAAAGCGCGATCCGGCAGTCCCGCGACTCCCCTATACAAAGGGGAAAAATAATATTGACCAAATCGCCCTATATACAGGTCGCATATTCTCATTTCCTTCGAAGCTACCATGGGAGTTCACCGTTGAACACCCCATCCGCAGCATATTCCCATTATGGGCGACCTACGAGCTTCCAATGAGCCTCTTGAAATGGTTCTATACTGAGATCGGGTCCGGCAGTCCCCCACCCCACTTGGTTTACTATGCGCTTCGTGGTGGGATGTTTCTGTTAAGTTTTGTACTCGAGGACTGGGCGATCTATGAGCTAGTGCCTTCCCCGCGTCATCGGCGCGCAATAGTGGTGCTGGTGGCCTCATCGTATGTCACCTGGACATATCAGACGCACACATTCTCCAACAGCCTCGAGACCTTGTTGGTTGCCTGGGGGTTGGTTCTGATTCGGCGCATTGTCGAGAATAAGGTGCGAGAGATAAAGCTTCGAAGCATATACAATTCACGCTAACTTCGCACCCAGCGACACTCGTCCTTCTTCTCCCACGCTGTGCTCGCCTTCATCGCCGTGGTGGGCGTCTTCAACCGCATCACTTTCCCGGCTTTCCTTCTATTCCCAGGCCTGCAATTGCTGCCGCAGTTCAAGCGCAAGTGCGTCAATATGCATACACTTCCAGCTCTAACCAATACACATGTGCTAACCCCGCGTCCGCATCAGACCACTCTCACTCGCAGCATTCCTCCTCTTCGGCCTCTTCTTTTCCTTTATCGCAGTCTACACGGACACGATCTTCTACCGGCCGACATCCTCCCTCCTCAGCACCATCCGTGACCCAATAATAACTCCCCTCAACAACCTCATCTACAACACCGACACTTCCAACCTAGCCCAGCACGGCCTCCACCCCCACCACCAACACTTCACTGCAAACCTCCTCCAACTCCTCGGCCCAGCTTATATAGTCATGCTAGTCTCGCTCTTCAGTTGGCCACTGGTGCCATACTGGATGCGCAATATGCGCGCGCTCTCCGCGCTTTCCGCAACGATGCTCCTCTCCCTCTTCCCACACCAAGAACCACGCTTCCTCCTCCCAGCCGTGCCCCTCCTCCTCAGCTGTGTCCCTATGCGCCGCTCCCGCCTCCTCCTCGTCGTGTGGGTCATCTTCAACGCAGCCATGGGCTTCCTCATGGGCGTGTACCACCAAGGCGGCGTCGTCCCGACGCAGCTAGCGATGCGCGACATTGTCTCGTCCAGCACAACACACTACATACCTACTGCGACGGTGCTCTGGTGGAAGACATATTCACCGCCGCTGTGGCTTCTTGGTGGTGACAACCAGACCACAGAGATCCAGACACAAGATCTCATGGGGATGTCAGGTGTGGAGATGATGCTGCAGCTGGAACAGGTTGTACCTAGCTGCTCGAATCCATCATATGTATTCCTGGTCGCGCCTACATCGGCTGATTTCCTTGATGACTATGCTGTATCTGTGCGTCAGAGCCGAGACCAGAACTTGCAACTTCATCCACTTTGGTCGTATCGCAAACACCTTAACCTAGATGACATGGACTTCGGCGATGACGGGGTCCTGCCGACTCTGAAAAGGGTCGTTGGGCGTCGTGGGCTAGGTGTTTGGTCTGTGAGGAGATCTTGCAAATAAGTCTTATTTCTGTTTCTACTTCTTCTTGTTCATGGATGTACTAACTATGTACTATATTCATGGATGGGTCCTTGTATTTTGTTTATCTGTATTTGGGATTTATCCTCTCATTTATTAGAACTACAATCTCTCTTTCTTTCTTTTTTTCTTTTTTTTCTCTGAATATTTTCGGTGCATGTTAGGGTTACTGGGTCCATAAGATACCTTTTGCATTGCGGATGGGCGTGAATTGAGTTGATATCTTCGGGTTCTAGTCTACCGTACTTACCTCTACCTACATGTAAGTAGTACTAGTTCAATTTATTCATTGACTTTTGTTCTTGTTTAGGCTGGTCAGCTGGTTATGGTCTGTGAGCATCACTGCCGTGGCCAGTTGGAATGTCGAATAGCTACGATGTATATCTGATAAGGGACGATAAGGGCTCTAGTTATATACATCAACTTGAGGCCAGTCCACGACATAGTAAATGCTGTGGGGTGCCCTCGGGATATATTACTGAGGTGAGGATATAGACTTCTCCAGTCATGCGGATACATTCCAACCATTCGCAGGTCATCTGCATATCTGTCTACCTGCATATTAAATACGCGTGACCACCAATGAAAATCACCCCCATGACAGATGACCAGATCGAAGATCGACAGATGACCAGATCGAAGATCGCCACATGCACTTATCCCAGCTACAGTCTTACACAAATATACACATACTCTATGTGCAGCCAACAGGTCCCATTTTGCCCATTAAGGTACATACATAACAGGCGTATTAGGAGAGGGAACAGCGAGATGCGAAGAAGCCAAGTTCACACTCAGCAAGTAGAAACTCAGACGCCAAGCTGGGAACTGGGTCGTATTCATGGGAAGAGGTCCGGGGCGAGGAGAGATGGTAATCAATTCAAACAGCAGCATGCTTGGTATTCATCATAGAACATAACGTTAGAGGGGGAAAGTTAAGGGAGGAAGAAAAGAAGTAGAGAGAGAGAGAACATATGATTCTTTACTGCTCATCCTCGTCCGGCTGGTCGAAGAGGAAGTTGGCAGCGAGCTCCTCGTTCTTGTCGCAAGCGAAGTAGGCCTGGATGACGGAGTCGCGGGGGAATCCGAGACGGCACAGCTAAATTGTGGGTTAGTTTATAAAAGACTACTAGATAGAGGGGGGATTATTCAACATACACGCTCAATAGCATCGCGCTCTTCTTCCGTAACCGAAATGGCCTGCGCGCCGGGTGGCAGAGCACCCTCCTCGTCCTCAAGTTCCTCACCCAGAAGCTGTAGGAATTGATCGGAGTTCTGTCCGATGATTGACGCAATCTGGGGATTCCCAGCGGCGACCTGTTGCAGGATGGGCTCGAGCATGTGAGGCTGCTGTTGAACAAGCTGACGAAGCTGTTGGAAATGGGGGTTGCTGCGGAGGAACTCCAGGCTGCCGAGAGCTTCACCACCAGCGGCACCCGCACCGGCGCCGGCACCAGCAGCACCGCGAGGTCGGCCACCACCTTCACCACCGGCCTGAGCAGCAGCTTCGAAGAGGTTGAGGTGCGGCTCGTCGCCACCGGAAGGAGCAGCGGGGGCAGCAGGAGCAGCACCAGTAGGGGCTGGCTCCGAGTCCTGTCGCTGTTGTTGTTGCTGTTCCTGGATGTTATCGGGAATACCCTGTCGTGATCATTAGCAAAAATTCAAGGCGTAACTTCCAACCAATAGCTTACGGTCAGAAGGTATTCGATGGCACGGTCAGGGTTATAGAATGCGGCGCGCATGGCACGGTCGATATCAGTGCGTGCAAAGCCCATTGCCTCCATCTGGACAACTGCTCCCTCGGCGGCAGAGCCCATGGTGAGAGCGGAAGGATCTCCGAAGGCGGGACCGCTCGATGGAGCAGGAGCTGCACCGGCCGGGGAGGGTGTCGCGGGGGCGACAGAAGGAGGAGGAGCGGCGGCAGCACTAGGAGCTGGGGGAGGAGCGGGTGTTGACACAGGAGCTCGGGCAGCTGGGGTCGAGGGAACTTGGGAGGCGGTAGAGGCGGCGGCCTTGGGTTGCTGAGCATCAATCCGTCAGTTTTGACTTGGTCATTACGGAAATCATAGACGAGGTTTATCCCATACCTTTGAAGGTAGGCACACTAGGAAATCCTTCTCTTGGATGTTGTAAGATTCAACTGTCTTGTCATCCTGAAGGATCTTTCCTACAAAGAGAGAGAAAAAAAAGAAGCGAGGGTTAGACATGGCACCGTGGATGGAGAATCTATCTATCAAGGGGGAGGTACGAACCAGAGTAAATGACCTTCATGCGCTCTGCCTCATATTCGCCTTTCTCTTGGGCGATTTTGACCTTGACCTCGCGAACCTAGACAGATGAGCCCCGCACTCGATGACGCTGGCTATTTGTAGCGAAGAGGGAAACAAACGTACAGTCTCAGAAGGTTCAACATCGATGACGAACTTCTCCTGCTTCAGGTCCTATAGGTCGATGATTGTCAGCAGTCTGTGGCTGTGAGGACCCCAAGAGCAAGTTTTCAAAACGTACCTTGAAAGTGAGCTTCATTTTGCCGCTTTGGAGTAAAACCAGGGAGAAAAGGGGCAGGGAGAGCGGATGACGAATTGAGATAGGAGAAAGGGAGAGTAGTTGATGTGAAGGATCCTCTCAGCGATGAAGTCGAAGAAAAGTCGAAGAGAGGGAAAAGAAAGTAGGAGGGGAGCATTCAGAGTGACGATGATCGATAGCAAACGAGTGCGGTGACCGCCTTCGGATTTACTTCCACAAGAATAGTTTGCCTCTTATTCTTATACCTGGTGATATTCTTTTTAGATAGATGTTCATTTTAGATGTATTTTGAGATATCTGTTTAAATGTGAAGACAGTAAAAATCATATTTTGTGCAAGAGATTCTTCTATCTATAACCAGGGACCAGGGACTACTCAACGATCAAGCCATGACAACTTTACAGGACAACTTGTCTGAAGGATGTCTTGATCTTAGGCTATTCTTGTTATTATTGTGTACAGCTCTCTCTACATATACACATATACGTACATATACTAACGCAGGTCTACCCCATTTGATCCCAAGCCGGTTGCCTGTTGGCCGCCTCGATGACAACATCCCAGGCAGACATCAAGATTCCATAGGTTGTAGGTTGGGGATGCAGATCTATGTCCCTATTTGGTCCCAATGGCATTGAAGGCTTTTCTAGAATGAATACACGGCATTGTTGAACTCCTATATAACACAGTAAAGTATTAAGCGCCACTATTGCCTCTCAAGTAAGTAGCACGGACGTCGTACATTGCACATATATACCCACACGGAAAAGGATACATATGAAAAACCCACAAAACACGCCAAATCTATTGATTAAATTTTGACAAATACTATCAATTGCATGCGGCAGACTTCATCCGGAAAGACATTGACCGAATCATAAATAGATCTCAGGACAATCCACCCTGTATACTCCATTCCTGCAGGACAGGCCATGATATCCCGTCTGGACCTCTGTGACTATAGAATATGGATCTATAAAATCTACAAAGTACCATTTTAAATTTGGCTAAACTCGCACTATAATTAACTTTGTCCGGTCTAACTGAGGTCCAGGAGAGCGCGGAGATTTTCTATCGCAAGGGAGTGAGATACATCACATTCCGTCCACACTATTGAGATCGAGAGAGGATCCGCCACTTCGACTGGGCGATGTTAATCCACAACCCTGATGGATCAGATTGAATAGTGCCATTGTTATAGTGAGATTCACCAAACTATCGGATTTCTACTCTGCAGGACAGGTCTAGACAGGGGCCCTACCCCAGAATTAGGCGCCATGGCTTCGCCTCGATGGGTTCAGAAATACGACAATTGCCAATACCATCCACAACATAATTATGCATCTCCAGCGGGATTTCTCTACCTCAGCCAATCGACATAATCCTTGTCAAGCCGATTCTTATCTACAAAGTTTAACCATCATGCTGGAATGATGGATCAGACCGATCTCTTTTGGGAAAAAGAAAGTGACAGGTTGAGACTGCTTCCCCGATATACTTTTGAGCCACGCTGAGATCCGCATCGCCCCGTCCCGTGTTGCGAACCCTCTTATACGTCCACGCATGTCCAAATCATAAATATCGACATCTTCCCTCATGAAATCTGCAGATTCCTTACACTCATTGCGTGCATTGGTAAACGTCTTGGATTGGCAGTCTGCCAACATTTGACATCTCCACACACTCTCTTATTCTCTTTTGATATACTTCCAGGCCATTCTTTTTGCCCAAAATCATTCTCTAAATTTCCCATTGTCATGTCTTATCTATCTTACTCACTGGCGGCGGCCTCCCTACTCGTAACATTCATTGTCACCGTTCTTAACGGCATCTGCTATGCAACCTCGAAAGCCTCGCCAGATGTGGCCTCGACTATCCTAAGTGCAGTGAGCTGCGTGGCTTTGATTGCCCTCGGTCTGCTGCACCACCAAAACATTCAAACCGGCTGCCAACAATGCATATGTTTCGCCGGCGGGTATCTACTCATTGCCGCTGCAGCATCTGCCGGAGCAATGGCAATGAGTCCTCAAGCCTCGGTCTTTGTGGTTCGTTCTGTGTTCTGGGCACTATCAGTGTTTGCACAAGGCTTATACTGTGGATTCCTCGCGACGACACTAGTCCAGAAGAAGTCCAATCCTGAATGGCCGCGTGCTTACTCCGAAGAGCCCTACTCCCAGGAGCTCAAGGATATCCCACAAAGCCCTGATTTCCTCCCATCTCCCCCTCGAGTATGCGACTTGTCCGAGCTATTTGAACCCAAAAGATCCTCACTCCGCAAATTCCCTCGGCGGTCCAGCCGCTACTCAGACGCAACACTCTGTCCTTCAAGCACCAAGGAAGAGAAGCACGCTTCCATCGACACAAATTCTTCAACCCACACCTCACCAAGCCCATCTCCAACACAAGACAGAAGATCAGACACCCTCCCAGACCGGGACACTCGCCCCCTCCTCCGAGGCCCCCACAGCATCCGCAGCATGCCCAGCCTACGCCGCAATCCACCAACCGCACTCTCCTTAGACAGTCTAGCACCCCCACCAATGCCTTCACCAACGGCATCCACAACCCGCGTCGACTCCCCAACACAGTCCACCCCCAATGGCTCAACGTGGGAATACAACCCATTCGGCGAGGACAACATCCACCCTCTCTTCCGCTCAACAAGTCCCTGTCCATCCCCAACATTTGCCCCGGGGACAATGGTCAAAGCCTCGCCGAGCGCGGGACAGACCATCACCCCAGGAACGATCACGCGTATGAGATCTGCCCGCTCCCTCCGTGACCAGGCAATGCGTACGCCATCCCCGTTGCCTGGGTTGGACTCGGAAGAAACCATCCGCACGAGACCGAATCCGACTCGGGGTGGTTTTGCTATGCAGAGATATGACTTGAACGAATCCCCTTATGAAAAGTGATTGATCTACCTCGGTACATCGTGATCTGCATGACTTGCAAAGTTTTCTTTTTTCTTTTTCTTTTTCTGTTCTTTGGCTTTTAGCCTGCTTTTTTGTATATGATGGATGGACCTTTGGATATATATGTGTATATGGGTGGTATAATTGGATATTCTTGAAATGAATTGCTATTGTATATACTAAACCAGTGAAAGTATATATATAACTATATTGGAGTTGAGTAGTAAATGTAAATTTCATTAATTCCAAGGTTGGGCCTTTGCATTAGATAATACCTGGAAGTTCCCTTCCATTCTACCTAGGTATAATGACTGCATTCTCTATTGACAATACTAGTATATTCATGGAAATTTATGATAATTATTCGAGCCAATCGTATAGTATACTTTGTAGAGTACAATTGTAGGTCATCCGCATGCGTTGCTGTCACCGACTCTTAGACCAAGTGGATCCATATATTTTTTTCTGTAGGGGGAAGGGATATAGAAGGTAGAATAGTATATAAGTATTATATAGATATCCCTGAAGATAATAAAGTCGACAAGACAGACAATATCAGACAATATCAGCATACTATTACTATTGTTTAGTTACTAGACAAGGTGAACTCTGTTATGTTCGGGTGAAATACTCCGGTAGGCTTGTGCCGGAAGTGGCTGGGGATTAGAGAGATACCCGTACGGAGTATGGAGTTATGGAGTACATGATCACCTAGTACTATTGTATTGTTCTTAGGCAGAAAGGATAGAATGAATGAAATGAATAACTAGTTAGTCTATTCATTGAATATATTATAATGTATAATGTATAATGTTTAATGTATTGGGGTTTGCTATTCTAATCCCCGAGCCCCAGCCGAGTCAGCAAAAAGTCGCCGATGGCTCAATAGAACCCCCCCAATAGACCAGGGAAATCCGGATGGATTATTGATTATTCTAATAGAAAAATCGATTTGAATGGAGAATTCGAATTGTATTGTTTATAGAGAGATTGATATATTGTTTCTTATTGTTAATCTATGGGAAGAAGAATCCAAGGTTCAGGTATATCCCATTTAATTGACTTGTTTTGACCTTTTCCCTTTCTTCTTCTTCTTCTACTCTCTCGACTTTTTTTTTTTTTTTTCTTTCTCTTCTCATCTTCTCACCCGGTCAAATCCTGCAGTAGATCTCTCTCTGCTGTTTTCTCTTTCTACTTCGCATACTTTTTTTTTTTTTTTTTTTTTTCCCCAAATCCATTGCTTTGGTAAGTGATTTTCATGAATCTGGACTACTTGTCACCTCTTTTCTCCCTTCCAATTTCCCTTTTCCCTATTCTTTGACGCCTCCCAAACCCTGTCTCCTTGATCTTGGCCTTGAGGTTCTTTGGGACCGTTGGGACCTTTGGACCTTGGGACCTTGGGACCTTTGAGATCCTTGGGATCTTTGGGATCTTTCGATCTTTTGATCTTCGGATCTTTGATCGCGTGTATCTCTACTTCGCGCCTTTCCTGCCAAGCCTTTCTTTTCCCATTGCTACCAACAGTGACGTTTCCTTTCTGCATTCTGCATTTGGCAACGCGACTTGTACTTTTTTTTCTCTCATCCTTTTTTCTACTATTGTCCCCCCTTTGAAGCCACTCTACCTTTTTTTTCTTTTTTTTTACTTCAAATCCTATGATGTATCCTACATTTGATCTACTGTTCAATTTCCCCTCTCCCTGAATTTCCCGCTCAACCCCTTGCTGCTACTGGAATCAATTTTCCCCGTTCAAAACTAATTTTCTCCAGACCAACAGCGATGGTGGGAAGAAAGAAGAATCGCGCGGCTGCACAGCCCACTACTACCACTACTACCACTACTACCACTACTACTCGTGGAAGAGGTCGAGGTAGAGGACGTGGTCGCGGCCGTGGCCGCGCCAGTCTACCTGGCCATCTTCCTTCTAATGAATCATCGAGCATACCAGAAGCTCGCTCGCGTATCATCAAATTAAAAATTTCCCCGCTCAAACTAATTCAACATGCTCAATCGGCTTCTGATGCCCCTGAGGAAAATGAAAACGCAACTGCGGTATCACAAAACCCAGAGACTCCTCGCACCCGGCGTCCTCGACATCCCCGGACTGTCCCTAAGTCCTCACGGACCACCCGGCAGTCAGCAAGACTGAAGCCGGATGGAGATGACGCCTTCGAAGAAGATGTCTCCCCAACCAAGGCCGTTGATAATCAAATCACCGAGCCAGATGAGGACATGAACTCTGATCACTATGACGAGGAATTCAAATCCGAACCTCCATTTCAAAAAATCTCTCAATCTCCTGAACCTCGCATGGTTGCTTCAGCCCCCGTGTCGCCTGGAGCTACCCAAATCGACCCTGCTGATGCCATGGTCGACGATATGAACAATAACATGAACAACATCTCAGAGCCAGCCAAAGCGAAGGCTGAGGAAACTCCCGTCGATCAAAGTCCCAATATTTCTCAGATTGAAGCAGCGCCAATCAGTGCGTTGTCTTCACCCCGACTCGTGCGCAAGCGGAAGTCACCCGAACTGCAAGATGAAACCCCGGATGTTGATTCCGAGGATCCTAAGAACAAAAGGCTTCGCGTTGATGAGACTGAACTCGAAGAGACCCCAGAGAGCCACTTCCAAAATGGTACAGAGCTTCATGCTCAAAATGGAACATCTCCCGAGGACATCCCTATTCCTTCAGAAGAATTCGACCCCCCTGCTTACAACCCCGCTGTTCGAGGTGGCCGTGGAGGTCGGGGAGCCCGTGGCGGCCGCGGTAGAGGACGTGGCCGGGGTCGTGGTCGCGGAGGCCGCGGAGGAGTCGTTGGCCCAATTCGACCTACAGCAATCACAAAGCCTCGCGGTGGCCGAGGACGTGGCCGTGGTGCCAAGGCCACCATTATCAAACGCGGCAAGAAAATCGAAGACGAGATCTGGGACGCCACCGAAAATTGGCGTGGTCCCACCCCATCGCCTACTCCTGAATCACTGCCGACAAAAACTCGCCAGGACGAAATGTCTGCGCTCTTCAAGAAGGTTGGCCAGGCGCAGCATATTGCGCTGAGTTTCATGGCCGATCAGAACATGCACAGACTTGCACGCGATAAAAATGCCCACAAAGACTGTCCTGAATTCGAACAAGTCCAGCGGGATCTGGATGAGTACGAACGCAAGGCAATTGAGAGATTGAACAACGAATACAAGGCAAACACCGAGCTGGAGACTCGAAAGCATGAAGCCGATGTTCACACCATCAAAGACACCGCAAGGGTAAGTTTGAATTTTATTCCTCTCATCTCATCACCGAAGGATTCTAACATGTGGAAACAGCTACTCATCGAGCAAGTCCAAGAAGAGACGCTCACAATGCTCATGGGCAAGATGATGGCCCTGATTCAGGGCCGCAGGGTGGCCGAGGATGATGAACACACCGAGGTAAGTGCACTGAAGACTTTCAAAAACGAAGACGCAGCTAACCCGTCTCCAGTACGACACATCGGATTCAGAAGAATCCGTGAAGCAATTCCTTTTCCGAGACGGAGAGACGGCGGTCCGACAGGTGGAGCGTGGATTTGCAGCGGAGACAGTTCGGGACCCGGAGGGGGCAGTTGACTTTGTGGCAGCGGACGAGGGATGGGATGAATTCGTCCAGAGAGTACGGATGGGCCGCTTGAACGAGGAGGTCGCGCCCACTGAAATGACCGACGAAGACGCTCTTCGAGCGTATGCCAAGGATGCCTTCGGCAGCATCCTTCATGCAGCCTCCTACACCCAGGGCCAGGAGGCGACTGGCAAGGTCGTCGGCGGCTACGATGGCGCCGCTGATCTCCCAGTGCACCCACGTGCACTTTCAATCCTGGCAGATGCGGCTCTGACCGAGCCCCTGCCACAACACCTCCCAATGATGCGCACCGACCCCAGCATCCACCACCGGGCTCTCCTCCCCCAGCCCGCCCACGGCCCTCCTCCTCCTTCCTCCCTCCACGGCCACGGGCCAACAGACCCGCGGTCCTTCATCCTCCCGCGGCCCACCCCAACCCAGCAGCCGCGGCGCCTTCTCCCCGCCCGCCAGCAGCTGGGATTGGGGCTGGGCCTGCCGGACCCGTTCACGATGAACGGGCCCCCGCAGCTGCCCCCTCCCCCTGGCTCCAACTTCGCGCGCCTGCCCCTGCCGGGCTACATGCCCCAGGGCCATGCGCCCTCCCTGTACTTCCCGCCGCCCCCGCCCGGAGCCCACCCCCAGCCCCCGCCGCGCGGGTACTAGACCCGCCGGCTTATACTTTGTTTGTGTAGCGTTCCCCGCAGTTGATACCAATTCCATTTTTGTACGTTTAGTTGCGATGTCCTCCCCCTGAGTGGGGATGGGGGGGAGGGCATCAGAATGAATACCGTCTTTTCTCGTTTGAATTGATTTCTGTATGAGTTGAGATGTAAGATGAAGGGATAGTAAGTAGTAAGGTGAATATCAAAGCAAAACAGGTTCAAATTGAAAGTGAAAATGAGCAGTAAGTGAGCAGTAAGTGAGATTCAAATGAAACTGAAACCAAGAAATAGTCCTGGAAGTGAGAGAAGCCCAAGTAAGAGAAGACGGAAAAAGCAATATTCGACACGAAGCCTATATCATCCTATCATATTCAATCTTTCTACATCCCCCTTCTCATCCTATTCTTCGCCTATATCATCCTATCATATTTAATCTACACCCCCCTTCTCATCCATATCATATTTAGACTTCGCCTATATCATCAATCATATTTAATCCTTCTCCCCCTTCTTCCTTCTACATCCCCTTCTCATCTTCTACTTCTTCATGCTTCTTTTTCACGTATCTCACCTTCTTGAACCGGGCACCGGGAAATAGCCAGCTGCCACTAGCACAGAGATCGGTGTTTACCGGGAGCATTACGGTGCACCGATGGATCAGTCCGAGTCTCCTGAAGATTAGCGATAACCTGGCCAAGGGGTTGCTAGTTGGCATCGACTCTGCCATCCCCATAACCAAGGCGTTATCCCCAAAAGCCATGAGACTTCCATATATGCTCGGCATTTTCGAGAGAGAATGCAAGCTCTTTCTTGGACTCTGTCGAAGAGCACGCATCGCTTTCCAGAACAAAGTCGCCTATCAACAATGATCAACATCGTGCTTACAGTCAAAATACATGAGCGCAGAAGAATATCCATCCAACAATGGAAGATGGGAAATCGCAGTCCATTCCCCGTGCAGAAGATGAAAATCACAAAAACACCAGCCCCAAACTGTGAGAGGATCAAGGGGAAATGGTAGTGAATAACTGCTACGATACGATGGAAATTCTACCCTTCTCTCTTCTTACTCGCCTTTTCTACTTTTTCTACATTCATCTTTCTTATTCATTCTCATTCTTCAGATTCCCCGTCTAATCTTAATTTCGCTATTTATTACCTCTATCTGTTCTCTGTCTCTCTTCCCCCGTTTTTCCTTTTTGGCCCCATTTTCCCAAATTGCTTCGACTCATCCCCGTCTGGTGTTTCCTTCTGCCGACTGCTTTTGAAAGTCTTCAGAGTACGGACTTCAATATACTGACTATCTTCTGCTACTCTGCGGTACTATATAGATACCGCCCACCAAACTCATCCACGAGACGAAGCCGATCAACCAAAGACAGGATCCCTCTCCTTCAATTATACCCCACAAGTTGAAGGATATATATATTGTGGATAGATCCCGTCAGCGGAGAGGCAAACATGGCCATCACCATAAAGATCGACCAAAGAAGCCCCAGCTCAAAATCGAAACCTGGGATTCGAACTCGGGTGTTCAAGGTCCCGATGCCTTCCAATCCGCGTGATCGAAAGGAATAGTGATAAAATCACAGTCACAGGTCAATCGACTGGTATCAACAAAGTGCAAAAGATTGAAACTTTCCAGGGGATGGGAAAAATTACACACAAAGCACCACAAGACGGTCTACACAACCGTTCTTACCAATAGGATGCAGGTCGTGCAATCTCTACGACCAATTTCGGTCTTGAAGACTCGCACCACAGATCTTGCCGGTTTCATCATAGAAAGAGTTGTGAACAATGAAGAATCCCCGGTTTGGGTGCACCCGGTGCAGCCCCGAGGATGTCACTCGACAGAATTGTCGTACCTCAGCCGTACCTGCCCATGGAGCAACATTTATCTCGGACAGGATGAGGAAGATGCTTGCGCCAGCATTCTATGCTGTGCTTGTGCATTGGGTATATTACTTGAGCTCTTCAATTTGAACCATTTTCGATGTTTAACTTCACTTTCTCTATGGTATACATCTAAATCAAACATTCTTATGGTTTGATACTAGGGTTAACAAGTAACATCATGTTCTAGCCAAGGTATGTGTGGCTGTGTATGACTATGACTGACATTATAATCAATAAAAATAGAAATAAAAATAAAAATAAAAATACTCGAACGAATGAAGTCGAATGAATCATCGAGATGAGACAGAATGAGTCAGTAGAGAATGAGGTAGTGGTACTTAGGCTCCCATACTGTAGACCATAATAAAATAAGTACCAGTACATTATATCAACCCACCATCCTCGCCTCTGCGGCTCCGGCGGGGCAAACTCCAGCGACGTTTCTGATTGGCCCGAGCTTTTGGTCTTTTTTCAGTTGGATCGCACGTCTCTGCCAATTTATTTATCACTCGGCTTCATTCTTCAAATCTTTAGATTCTTGGATTTCTTAATTTCAAAATCACTTGTTTCTGTTTCTGTTGCATCTGCTAGTTCGATTTTCGTTACCCCGCTCCACACCGCACACTTTTTCCCAACCCTACTTTTTGCAACATCTTCTGATCCTCTGATCCTCTGAACATTATGGCTGTTCGCGCGCAATTCGAGAACTCGAACGAGTAAGATACTACAAGCAAAGAAAGGTTGGGACTCGGATTGACGGTTTCCATCTAGGGTCGGCGTTTTCTCTTGTCTGACAAATGCCTACGCTATCGTTGCGGTTGGTGCTTCGGAGAACTTCTACAGGTGGGTTATTCAGACATTCAGAAGGGTGTGGGATTGGGGATTGGAGATTTGGGACTGGCATTGATAGGGATGATGGATGTGAAGACATATACCATCGTCAATACCGTGCCGTTTCAAATCTCAATCTCTAACCTCTGCCCCAATACACCCATGAACAACCCCAACTAACACAAAAATTCAGTGTCTTCGAATCCGAACTCCAAGATGTTATTCCCATCTGCCACGCAACCATCGCCGGAACCCGCATTGTCGGTCGTCTAATCGTCGGGTGAGTCGGACATAGCCAGATCTCGTTCCAACCGAACAGCCTTTTCTGGCGGGAAGGAAAACATCCATCAAGAAAACACAAATGCTAATATCTTGCCCACAGTAACCGCAAAGGTCTTCTCGTTCCCACAACCACCACAGACCAAGAATTGCAACACCTGCGCAACACGCTTCCGGCCGAAGTCAAAATCCAACGCATAGAAGAGCGCCTCTCCGCGCTTGGCAACGTTATTTGCTGCAACGATCACGTTGCAATCGTGCACCCCGATCTGGAGCGTGAAACCGAGGAGATGTGAGTACCAATAAAGTGTTTACAACACCCTAAAACACCTTTTCTCCCCCACTCTATTCTATTCCATTTCAAACTTTCTTCCCTTGCTTTTTTTTTCTTCTTCCAAAACTGACATATCTCTTTCCCTCCCCAGCATCGCCGACGTCCTCGGCGTAGAAGTCTTCCGCCAAACAGTAGCCGACAATGTCCTCACAGGTTCTTACATGGCCCTCTCAAACCAAGGTGGAATCGTCCACCCCAAGACCTCAATCCGCGACCAGGACGAGCTCTCTTCCCTCCTGCAAGTTCCCCTCGTGGCAGGCAGTGTGAACCGCGGATCTCCCGTCGTCGGCGCCGGAATGGTCGTCAACGACTGGCTCGCCATTACCGGACTGGACACCACAGCCACCGAGCTGAGCGTTATCGAGTCTGTGTTCCGACTTGGCGAGATGGCGCCCGGTGGTGCCGGTGCTGCCGGTGTTAATAAGGATAGTATTGTGGAGAGTTTCTACTAGATATGTTTGCGATCTTCTTCGATTGGCTTACTTTCTGGTGAACCTTCTCTATACGGTACATTGTCCTGTTCTTATTTTCACGCTGGAATGATTTTTTGATTGAAAGTACTGGTATTTTTTTCTTTTTTTTTTTTTTTTTTGGCCTGTTCGGCTTCTGTGTTCTCTTGCTCCTGTTCGGTCTGATGGGTCTTTCTTTTGGAGTCTGTAATGCCTATGCTTGCATATACTCGAATGAATTATGCATGATGGATGGAATGTGTAGCATTAAAGATTTTTTAAACAAATTAATCGAGATATAGATGTTGACATTTGAGAATATTGATCATTGAGATGGTCTTAATCCTTCCTATATAGCTTTAGAGATTCTGTATGGCGTAGATCTCAAAAGAATGAAGTAATGAAGCTTACAGCTCAACACAGGCTGAATTGATGCAAACTATGATAGTGGCACTTGGGCTCGGGGGTATTGTCGACAGCATAGAAAGCAATAGAAAAAGCAAAAAAAAAAAAAAAAGAATAAAAAAGAATAAAAAAAGAATAAAAATGGCACAAAAGAACACGTTAGAAGCAAAAAAGTAATGCAGGCTGTTGAGATATCAGATTCAAACCCTCCCATCTTCTTCCGACTCTCTCTCGCTTTTTCAGTCGCTTTTGGGTATTGATGCACAAACACAAAATAAGACAAGAACCGCTAAAGTTGCTTCATACCTGTCCCTCAATACTGAGCTGAGGTTGCTCCGTTTGTGGACCATTCTCCACCTCCACCTCTACCTCCATTTTGACGTCAACTCCAGCACCGGAGTCGCCTTTCGAAGGTGAAGGGTCGGCTCCGGTGTTTCCCATGCTGGTATCACCATCGGCATCATCTTCAGGTCGATCGGCTGGAGGGGGCGGAGGAGGAGGGGGTGGAGGTGTGGATTTCTGTCGTTTAGAGGGAGACGCGGATCCGTCTTCAGCGTCATCAACATTCAGGGTTCCGTTTCGCTTGCGTTTGAGGGATGCGGCGTCATCGTCTTCCAGGGGAGAACTCGCAGGTGCACCCGCGGCGGCGTCATCGTCGCCTGTACTGTGAGCCTCATTTCCGGGGTTCGGGGTGGCGTCTAGGGACTTCTCGCTGTCGAGCTTCTCGCGATTCACGTATTTGGCTGCGGCCTTGCGGAAGAAGGTCTTGCAGTAAGTTTTTACGGTTTGCTGATGCTTCGTGGAGACCTTCGCGGTGGGATCCTTGACGCGATTATTTTTGTAATCGCTTTCAACGAGCTTCTTCGCAGTCTATTGATAGAGAATGTCAGCATAATTATACCCCATCAGAAAGAGAACCGAAAGTGAGCGTCCGCGATCTTACCTCTTTTGCAAATCGTTTCAGATGATGGTCAGGGATTTTGTGTTTGTACTGATCCACCACGGGCTTGATATGCGGGAAAAGCTGTTGCTGTGTTAGTCCAATTATATCTCGTGTTCTGCGTAAACACTCACAGTGTTTTCATATATTCTCTTCTGTTTCTCCAGCGGAAGCTTCCTCCACTTCTCTCCATCTTTGTGTTTTCTCTCCGATTGATCGGCGGAAGGTTGAGGAGTCACAGGTGTATCGGTTCGGTGCTCAGAGGGTGTGTCCTCCTGAGTGTTCATAATCCCATCAATGATACTCTGTAGTGCCAAATTTTGTTGATTTTTGGCAGGCTGGCCCAGCGCAGGAGTAGCGGGAGTAGCAGGCAAAGTTGGCCGTTCCCATGTTGTTTTGCCCGATGCAGAGTAGTAATAAACGCGGCCCTCCGCCTCCGCTGTATACCATCCCTCAGGCAATGGCCGAGGACCACGACGGTTGGGTTGTCTGGGTCGCTGAGGACCTCTGTCTCTTCGTTGCTGCACTGGTCCACGAGGAGGATCGTACGCAGGAGACGGAGAGCGAGTAAGAGATCGCTGGCGCTGCTCCTGCCCAGTTTCGCGGCGCTCGAATTGGTTGATTGCCTGCTTCGCGTCCTTGCCGCG